TTATTCTTGCTGGGCTATATAGCACTGTAAATGGAGGATCTGGACCGTTTCACGGTCACACAAGAAAAGAAACACACATCAGCTTTATCTAGGAAAATCGTCAACATTATCATCACCGGCCATCCATACGTAGCCCTGCTCCGTTTTCGGCCACCAACAACCAAGATATAAGCCAAGAAGGGTAGGGGACAGTGTATTCCCCACGACATGCCCTTTGGAAGGCATCCTTGTAGACTGGGTGCCGCTGAACTGTATGCAGCAGTTAATGGTTCATAGGTCGCTTTTGGTTCAACCACCGAGCAGTCGGTGAGGCAGGGAGATGGAGCCCACCAACAGGATATAAAAAAGACAAAAAGGAAAGGCAATATCAAGATTACAGATGAGAATTGATAAGTGGGAGAAACAGAAAGATAGATAAATAGCAATAAAAGGGAGAACTTGGTAACGGTGGCCCGATGATGGAGTGCGGGGAGGGGGCGGGTAAGTAAGAGAGGAGCGCAACCGTCGTATTCCTAAATAGAACCATCCCATCACATAAGATTCAAGGGGAAGACTTGAGTTCTAAGCTAGGACTTGCCGTCGAGGCCTGTTTTTGGTTCTGATGCTGTCCGGTGGCCTCTTGGTACTTATCGAACATGCCAGATAGATCCCCCTCACTGATGGCAGATCCGTTCTTTTCGACGATGAGGTTCCTGAGCCATCGGTTCTCCATCTCTAGCTGGCTGACGCGGGACTCGAGAGCCGAGTTCTTGCTCGTCACATCCTTTACAGTCTTTTCCAAGTTCTTCTCACGTTCCTTTTTCTTGATGCGGAAACGGGCACTGGCAGCGGTGTTGCGCCGGCGTTTGTCTTCTTCTTGGGCTAGACGGTCCGCCTCTGAAGTAGTGGTGGCATCAGACTTCCTTTTGGCCGGAACACTGGCCGGCTGTGATTGAGTTACTACTGGCTGTTGTGGTGCTTGTAGCTGTGGTTGTGACTGGAGGTGTTGGTGCTGCGGTTGCGGTTGCGGCTGTTGGTGTTGTTGTTGCTGTTGCTGTTGATAGATAGGAGTAGACTGAGGGAGAGATGTGTTGGCAGGGAGAGGCTGAGTTGATGGATAGGTAGTTGACTGGACTGGGACCGTCGGCTGCTGGGGCTGGAAATAAGGGAAATTGGAGATGTTGAAATCTGCTTTGACCGGATACATGTCGAGTAAGCATGAGCCAGAGGACACATATATCTATTACATAAAACACTCACCATTCAGAATCCCCACGTAGTTC